GCCAAAATTGAAAATATCGTAAAACCCGCAAATGTAATTATCTTGGTTATTATTATAGGTGGAGTATTATAACTAAGTCATCATATAGACACTTTTTACAGATAATTTCATGAAATAGTAAAAAAAAATTTTTCGGTTTTAGATTTTAAGATATCATGAGAATTTTTGTTTTTTTAAATGGAAACAACCACTGATTATTCGCTTATTAAATACGTTATTTTTTTCTGATTACAAAAATATAGGGTTCGACTGGTCTATTTTTTATTGTTTTAGAATAAAGCTAAAAATAAACTTTTCTTATAAAATTTCCATCTAGTGTCGTCGAGGAAATTAAATTTGCAGTTTCCTGTAAGTTACGGGGCGGTAGGTAAAATCTAAAAAGATAACAATTAAATACGAAGATAACTTCTAGTATTTAAAAACAAATAATTTTTTAATATGTAACATTCTAACATGTCAAACTTTTCAAAATTTTCGTAATTGATCTTATAAACAGGATTTTTAAAGTGACACTTCAGAAAATTTTCGAATACAAACAAATGTTGCTATGTTCATTTGAATTAAAAAAAAAAACATATGAACGCCATCTATCGATAGTTTATTAAGTCATTTAAAAATAATATTAAATCGTAATAAAAAATGTGAAATAATGCAATCTATTCCAACTTTTGTGTAAAACATGTATAAATTGAACAGTTTAACAAATATATTTGTTTCAAATATCAGAAATACGTTTTTTTAATTTTTAGTCATAGAACCGTAATTTACAGGAAACTATAAATTTAATTTCTTGGACGACACTAAAAGAAAAGTTTATTTTTAGTTTTATTCTAAAACAATAAGAAATAGACCTGTCAAACTCTATATTTTTGTAATCAGAAAAAAATAACGAGTTTATTAAGCGAATAATCAGTGGTTGTTTCCATTTAAAAAACGAAAATTGTGATAATATCTCAAAATCTAACACCGACAAAAATTTTTTAACTACGTCATAAAATTCTCTGTAAAAAAGTGTCCATATAATGTCTTAGTTATAATACTCCACCTATAATAATAACCAAGATAATTACATTTGCGTGTTTTACGATATTTTCAATTTTGACCTCTAGCGGAAAAACAAGACGATAGCGGTATGAGGTTTTCGGCATTAGCAGTTTCGAGTTAGTTTTCGAGTTAGCCTATTCGGACATCGAATTTGAACCACCCTGTATAGTGTCCGCCAAAAAGTCAGCAACACCCGTTTTATTTCTGTTCCATTGCATCAACGTTTTTGATATTTAGCTTATATTTAATTTTATATGGTACGCCCCATATTTTTTTAACCTACCAGAGAGAGAATTAAATTTATTAGCCAAAGCTAATTTTTATTTTCATTGATTCATTTATTTGTTCTTCTATTTGTTATTTTTGGTAAATAAAAGATTATCAAAGTTAATTGTAAAAATAAATTAAACAAAAAACTGCCAAAATATCATGTCCTAATAAAAATATAACCGATTTCCGGCATTTCCGGGCAAATTTCCTTTCTGGTGGACTAATAAAACATGGGGCTTACCATTTAAAATTTTCACTTTTTTGCCATTGAATGCGGAAAAAAGGTAATTCACTTTTTGACCATCCTATACAACATACTGTGATGCAGCAAATGACGATCGATTTGACAGTATTTGAAGAGTAATCGTGCCAATTTAGAGTTTTTTTGAATGAACGTTTGGTGAGATATGGAGTTTTAAAGAGCATGGTGAAAATTGCCAAGAAAAATTTAAAATCAAAATAACTCGAAAACGAAAACCGCTAGGTACCAATAACTTTTATCAAAGACAACTTATTTTTTCGTATATAATTAAATGGTGAAATAAAAACTATAGCATTGCATTTAAAATAACGAAGTTATGGTCTACTTCCAGGGGACCGGAAGTGGCCACCATCTTGAAAATACGTTAGATCGAAAGATCGGTATGAACCTCTCATATAAACTAAATGTTAAAAACGTTGATGCAATGGAACAGAAATATAACGGGTGTTGCTGACTTTTTGGCAGACACTGTATAATATATACAGGGTATCTCAGCGAGACCGGTCATTAGACGTTTCTGGAGTTCTGGCTAAAATAAAAATTTGAGAATTCAGATTTAAGTATTATCGATAGTATTATTGATTCGGCCGTTCTCGAGTTATTCGAATTTTTCTAGAAAAATCTGCTCCAGCAGACATGTGTTCAAAAAATCAGAGAACACTCGATTTTTGGAATATTAATTTAGGATTCAGAACATGCTTAACCAACATGATGGAGTATGTTTTGGTGCCGAGAGCGGCTGTCTAGATCGTTTGGTCACTTTAATATGGCACGTTAACTTTTCGAAATTTGGAAGTACCATATTTTATTACTTAGTTGTCTTCGGTGTCTTATTTTACATCTTTTATATCCCATATGTCCTCTGCCTAACATTAATAGTTTAGGAGATTAGGGTTTTTTAAAAAATGCACACATATTTTGTTTTAATAATGGTATTCGTGAAATGCGGGAAACTTTACATTTTCTCTCTGAATTACATAACCGGAATTGTGAATTGGTTTCGAAACAATTTCTGCAACAATATCAAAAACGATATAAAGCTTTCATAGTTGAAAATAAACGTAATGCCAACAATAACTATATCCTAAACTCAAAAAATAAGCAGTTGGCTGCATGGAATGTAATAAGAAATTACAATCCTTCAAAATATTTTATCACATAGATGAATACATAAATAATGATTTTGGGGATCTTATATCATTTTGTTGCTTTTGTCAGCCGTTGTCTGTACTCCTCAGATCTCTATATGTACAGATGTTCCGTTAAGCGTACTTAGCGGCTGTATCTCTAGAACGGTAAGGCCTAGAGGTTTGGGAAAAAAATCCTTATAAGCAAAGTGACCAAGAGAAATAGCTGGAAATTATTTTTAAGTTCGTAATTCGATCGCTAGGGGGCGTAANTATGTCATAATGACATTGACATTTCAAACCGGAAGTTGCTTATATCTCGAGTAATATTGGAATTAAACGTATCATGTTTGGACTCATTTTAAAGGATCTTTCACGACGATTACAAATATGTCAATATTGACTTTGACATTCTTAACCGGAAGTTGATCATAACTTCATTGATATTGAAGATAAATATGTCGTGTTTGTACTCATTTTAAAGGATTTTTAATGAAGATTACAATTATGTCAAAATTGAGGTTGACATTTTAAACTTGAAGTTAGTTATGATATAATAGTAGTTTTATAACTGAAGTTTATTTATTTTTAGTCACTTTTCCGCACTTTCTTTTTATTTTTAACGTGTTTTTTGATCAACGATTTTTTAGCCACATGATGATTCTTGAATTGTTCCGAAGTTTCTTAATATTTCTTTTGTTGAAAAAGCGCGTTTTTAAATTTTAACCTGTAAACTAGTAACACTTCGCCCTTAATTTTATTTTACAACTTTTTAAACTTTAATTTTGTAAATTAGTAACTAATAATCTGATTTCGACTTTGATACGTGATCTTTTTTAACAAAACAAAAAGAAATATTAAGAAACTTGTTTATAAAATGGATAAGATGAGAGATGTTAATCTATTTGTAGAGTCTCTGAAGATGGCCAAGGGCCGAAACTGGCTAAACTTAAATTCTATATAAAATAAAAACCAGTTTAAAAGTACAAAATCAAACTCTAGATTATTTTCTTCAAAAATTTTTACACGAATCGTCATTATTTTGTCTCTAGTTTTAGTTATTACATTTATGCCACGACTTACAGAAACAACCTGTATAATCGTAAAACATAACGAGTGACCAAGCGGCTTCAGTGCTTGTGATAGCTGTCATCAGTGTTCTGTGATAAAAATGGAGTAATAATTTTATTCGATTTAAATTAAGAATATATTTAAAAAAAAATCGCATGAGAAAAAAACTAATTAAAAGATAGTAGAGATGAAGATTATACAGGATTTAACCTAAAAGAGTAGTTTATAAACTATCCTTTAGTAGTAGGTAAATGCGCAAAAGGGTTGGTATTAACAAGGGATTACGAAAAGTCGACGATGTCAAGCGGTTTAGATTAATGGTCCACACACACTCAAAGGATGTAATCCTTTTTAATTTAAACCGACTTTTGCACAGCCTTTTATAAGATATACAGGGTATTCAAAAAAAAACTCAATGGAAAAAGAAACAAGAATCATTTTTTGAAACAATGGATAAAAGGGTGAAGCAATTAGCGTTAAAAGGCCTTTTTTAGTCCTTTTCAAAGTGTAAATTTGGCCCAACGAGAGCCACGGAAAGGAAGAACCTATTGTTTCAATTGTTTAAAGTACCTCTGATTTAGTACTCCCATATAAATTTTGCGGTACTTTTTTTTTAAAATAGGCGTATCAAGAAATTTTTCTACGTAGGTAGATAGATATTTAATAATACATTTTTATTGTGCTCTCTCGAGTTTTAAAATTAACCGAAACTTTTGTCTCTTGTCAGTTTGCAAGATGGGAAAAATTTAATATCCACCGTTCCTCGCTTCCGGGTATTTCTATGCGCACCCTCTCACATCACGAGAAGCAATTACCGAACAACCATTCGCAAACATCAAAAGCCCGTTGGACACGATTTCTGATACAAAAGAAGTTCGTGTATAAAAGATAATGGAAGATTTTAAAGTGAGAATGTATACGGAAAATGCAATTTCCGAGACATTACCGTCTACGGAGCAGTGACCATCGCAAAGTCAACCTTGTCAGATAAAGTTAAGACTTACAGAAACGGTAAAGCGGTCGACGACGTGGAGGCATTTCCGTGTTGGGAGAACGCCACCTGTGGCCGTTGAGGAAAGTCACGGAGTTTCTCCAATTCCGGCGACCGCTACGACGACGATTTGTCAGGTAGCACGACGAGGATTTAATTCGCGAGCTGGGAGATTATTCATCTTGCCAAAATGCAATTTCAGCCGTTACGTGGAGGAGAAGATAGAGAAACTCACCTGGATCTGGGTATCTAAAGTTCCTAGCCAGATGACACAGTTGCAATGGTAGGTACCGGGTGTCCGCTCTTTGTGGAGATCTCACCGCCGGTGGAGCTCCAGTTAGAAATCCACGTTGCAATTCCCATCCGACTTCCGAGATTATACTTGCCTTACGAAAGTAAGGAGTTACCTCTCTTAAATATTTTACTGAAACCAAAAAAAAAATACATTGTTATAAAGTCTTCTGATATTAGCTTTTAATGCATCTTTTGTAAAACTTGTATGTAAAAACTTCTAATTTGCATTTATTTATATAAAGTCGTACTAGTTTTGGGTTACCCCATCATCAGCGACAAAGTCAATGAAGCTATAATAGGTGTAGACTGGAAATCAGATAAGAATAAAGCATTTTGCTAACTGATGGATAAACAAAATGAAGATAAAAGATGAAAAAGGAATGGCGACGTTAAAAAGTGTGGAATGTTAAAAATTAGAAAAACTTTAAGAGGATGCGGTGGTGGGATGAGATGAGGCGAGACAGTTTAGTCAGACTAGTACGACTTTATACAGGGTGTCTCATAACTGGTTCGTTAGAACTTTTTCAGGTTCCATTATTCGTAGAGATTTGAAATTTTGGTAGCATGGGTTATTCATTCGGAACTTTCGATCTAAAATATTTTCAAGATGGCCGCCACTTCCGGTCTACCGGAAGTAGACCATAATCAAGGTTTATATATCCTTCGGAAAGTGCGGAGCCTCGCTCCGCACTTTCCGAATTTTTCCGATATTTAACAAACTCTTCCGACTTTAATGCTCGGCGGCTCAGTACCTGTTGCTTTTGGCGTCTTGAAATTAGTGTTAAATATTCTGTTCGGGGGTGCGCTTGGTTCTGGTATTTTAGCAGCTTGCGGAGTGATACTCCTCACGTTATCCTTTTTGCAAAACATTATAGGTAAGTTATTGGTTTTTTATTATTTGTTTGCTTAATTACTATGGATAATTATGTAGTGCCAGAGTTAGCTATGGATTACGAAAAGGAACAGGAATATCTTCAAAGGCTCTTTGAAGAAGTGGAGACCGATATTGATGATGATAATGCGAGTTTGACAAGTGAGTAGTATAGAAACGCCGATTCTAGATAGGAAGTTGCACCTCCGCACCTCCCTGACGTCATCAATCCAATGTAAAAGGATAGGGAAGGGTACCAACCTACGGCTGAGGTGAAAAAAAAAATAGGTTGGTATTGGAAAAGTAACTAGATCTGGTGACTTTTTTAAAAAAGTAACGCGCCACCTAGTGGCTGGTAGTGGAACTAAACCATTACCAACAAGGTAGACTGTTACCTTTTTTAAAAGCCCAATGTTTTTAGCCCAATGTAAAAGGATAGGGAGGGGTGTCAACCAAAGGCTTGGGGGAAAAATAGGTTGGTAACTAGACCTGGTGATTTTTTAAAAAAGTAACAGTCTACCTTTTTGGTAATGGTTTAGTTCCACTACCAGCCACTAGGTGGCGCGTTACTTTTTAAAAAAAAGTCACCAGATCTAGTTACTTTTCCAATACCAACCTATTTTTTTTTCCACCTCAGCCGTAGGTTGGTACCCTTCCCTATCCTTTTACATTGGATTGATGACGTCACGGAGGTGTGGAGGTGCAACTTCCTATCTAGAATCGGCGTTTCTATACTACTCAAGTGACCACGAAGAAATCCAAGATCATAACACCGATGACGAACAAACAATTGAGCCCATCGATTTGGATGTTCCACTGTCAGGGAAAAACACGGGGCAACAGTCTGCTGCATTTTATATAGGAAAAGACGGAAAGACACACTGGCGTAAGCATCCAGGAAATAAACAAGTAAGAACTCGTGCAGACAACATAATCAAGGTTCTTCCTGGTGTAAAAAAAAAACGCAAAAGGAATAAAAAGTCCGCTAGAGATCTGGAGCCTTTTTTTCCCTGACAATATTCTAAATGTTATTGTAGAAAACACAAATATTTTTATTGGCATGGGGAATTATGATACATGTAATCGAACAGCAAGGCCGACCGACATTATTGAATTGAAGGCACTTTTTGGGTTGCTATATATTTCAGCAATGTCAAAGAATAATCATGTTAATGCGGCTGATTTGTTTAGAACGAATGGAACCTCTATGGAGATTTTCCGTCTCACTATGTCCCTTCAAAGGTTCAAATTTCTATTACGTTATATTCGATTTGACGATAAAAGTACTCGTGAGGAACGGCAAAGGCATGATAAGTTGGCGCCAATTCGAGAAGTATTTGATGCATTTAATTCCAACTTACCTAAATACTTTAGCTTGTCTGAATATACAACAGTGGACGAAATGTTAGCAGCGTTTCGTGGAAAATGTGGATTTCGTGTTTATATGCCCAATAAGCCAAATCGATACGGTATCAAAATATACTCTTTAGTAGACGCAAAAATTTATTATACAACGAAATTGGAAATTTATACTGGGCAGCAACCCCCTGGACCCTTCAAAGTGCAAACAGATAATGTCTCCCTTTTATCTCGTCTTTGTCAACCAATTTCCGGTAGTAGAAGAAACGTGACGATGGACAATTTCTTTACAACAACATCATCAACTAACAATTCTTGGAACCATAAGGAAAAACAGAAAGGAATTACCTTTGGAGTTCACTCAGCCTGTTCCTCGGCCGGAGAAAACAAGCTGCTCTTATATTCCCAAAAAAAATAAGGTTGTTCTTTTGTTATCTACAATGCACTTCGAAGATTCTATTAACGAGGAAACTGGAAAACCTGAACTCATTTTAGATTACAATAGAACAAAAGGAGGTGTTGACACAGTCGATAAAATGTGTGAGGCTTATAATTGTGCCAGAGCTACCCGGCGATGGCCCATGGTCATATTCTATACCACTTTGAATATAGCTGGCATCAACTCATTTATTATTTTCAAAAGTAATGCAGGATATCAGGATCAGACACCTCGAAGAATATTTTTAGAGTCACTTGGCATGGAACTTCTAAATGAGCACGTACGACGACGAGCGTTAAATGAACAGATCCCACGAAATATTAGGTATAAATGATGAGCAGGATTTAAAACCAATTAACCCTGAGGCCCAGAAAGGCAGATGTTTTCAGTGCGACAGAAAAAAAAATAGGCCCACCCGGTTTAATGTTTCAAGTGCCGAAAATTCATTTGTTTAGAACATTCCGAAAATATTTGTCATGGCTGCGCAAATGAAGATCAACAATTTGAAAACTAATGTTTTTTTGTAAATTTAATTCCTACTTAGGTAATGTTATAACTAGTTATAAGTTTTTGTTAAACAATTTGTTTTTTTGTTTTTGGTGAATATGAATTGTAAACTTGAGTTTTGTATGTAATACAATAAAATAATACAAAAAAAAAAGTATTAATTATATTAGTCTCCTTTCTTTTCTTATTAACTTAGGAGAAAACAGGTACGGAGTATCGCTCCGCACGTTATACTTTATGTCTGATTTCTGCACGTTATCTCTGAAAGCAAAACAAAGTGGGTTTTAAAAACAAAGTGGATCCATTTTCCGGAAAAACTAAAAGTGGTAGCAAAATTTTCCATAAGAAAATATTTGTACTGATAAAATATAGAACCTGACGTTTTTTTGCTCATATTGATATCTTAATCTGTTCGGAAGTTAAAAAGGGAGGGGGTTACTTTACGCTAGCACTGTATATTACTTATTATCAATATATCATTTNGTTTCCTGCATTTCTTGCATGTTTTGATAAATTTACGAATATGAGAGAAACTACAATAAATAGATATAGGAATGTTTATAGATAAATTGTAGAGAATTAAATTCCCTTTCGTGTAGGCTAATAAAATATGGGCGTTCCATTTAAAATTTTCGAATTTCTCCCCATTGAATATGGAGAAACGGTAATTGAATTTTCGACCACCCTGTATAAGATACTCTAACACAATATATGACAATCTATTTGAGAGCATCTGAAGAGTAATCGTGATAATTTAGAGCTTTTTTGAATGAACGTTGGCTGGGATATAGGGTTTTAAAGAGCATAGTGAAATTTGACAAAAAAAGCTTAAAATCAAAATAACCCGTAAAGGAAAAACGCTAGGTACCAAAAACTTTTATGAATGTCAACAAATTTTCATACGTACAATTAAAAGGTGCAATAAAAACTATAGCATTCCATTTGAAATAACGAAGTTATGGTCTACTTCCGGTAGACCAGAAGTGGCGGCCATCTTGAAAATATTTTAGATCGAAAGTTCCGAATGAACAACCCATGCTACCAACATTTCAAATCTCTACGAATAGTGGAACCTGAAAAAGTTCTAACGAACCAGTTAAGTGAGACACCCTGTATAAATAAATGTAAGTTAGAAGTTTTTACATGGTTTTTTACTTTTTTTATATATTTCGAAAATTTATCATAGAACCTATTGCTGGTGGTAAGTAGAATTGTATAGTATACAGAAAGCAACAATTCGGTTATTAGTATTTTTGTAATATTGTTTGATTACATCATATGTTGAAATTGAGAAAATAATTTATTTTGCGATATTTAGATAGGCAAAAAATAAATTGTTTAACATTGTTCAAAAGTAATATTGTATACGTGGTGTAGTATAAGGCCTACTATTGTAGATTTTACTAGAAATTCTTGCGGTATTTTGCAGTTTTACCTTAAAATAAATTTTTATTATACAGGGTGATTCACATAAGAACCGACACAGAGCAGGGACGAACTAAGTTTGACACCTGAGGAGTTATAGGCATTCAAAGTTGACTCTTAAATTTTTAAAACATTACTACTTCATTTCATGTGGAATTTAATTCTAAAACTTTTCTTACTCTTATTATTTTTTAAAAAACTTTGTCGTTTTCTTAAAAAACTTAAATAACTAAAGCCACGTATTTCGTAATGTTACTTAAAATAAGCGAAAATTCAGTAGTCGGCTATGAAATTGTACGTCAAACTTGACAAATACGTTATAAAGTTATTTGACGACAAGGTCAAATTTGCAGTTAGAAAATAAACATAAGGGGTGTCCACAAAAAGGTTTCTAATCAAAATTACAATTTATTTTCTGAAACACTAATTAATTTTAATATGAGATGTTAGCGTTCTAAAGTTAATAATTTTCTAGAAAGAAATTAAAAAATTGAATTGACACACTGAGTTTTCGGTAAAATATTAAAAG